AAGCGGTAGTCGATATTGAGACCAGAGACGTCCGCAACATCACTACCTCCAGGAATCATGCAAAGCTCAGTAGCAGGTCAAAGCCAGAGAGGCTGTAGATGCAATGTCCATGGTTGATTGGGGTTGGTATCTGCCTGTCCAAAACTCCGAGCACTCACAAAATCAGTTCAAATAGTTTGGGAAATCCAAGCCGTCCACCTGGAACTCGTTCATCAGTGTGGTCCAGTCGGGGAAATCCTGCATCATGCCGGCCCAGTCCATCCCATCGGCAGCGGCCATGCTGTCCAGTCCACTATCCACCATACCCTCCGCTTCTGATTTATCATCTGTTCCACCCGGCGTAGGGTACGACTCTTTCTCGACGCTCCCGGTAGTAGCCCCCCCGCCAACGACGACCACACCACCGCCGTTCTGCTGGACAAGGCTCTGCCGTATTGCCGTTGCCTTGGCTCGCAGGGTTTCTAGAACCGTCATCTTCGCCGCGGGCCCGAAAGTGGCGTTTACGCTCTTCAGGAGCATGAAGCTATCGTCCACAGCCTTCCACGCCCTATCGACACTCGGCCCCTCCGGCCTCACACACAAGTGCCACAGGACGTAAAGAAGCATATGGTACTGGGGATACGCCCGCATAGACCACCTATACTGTCGGAGCAGCTCGTCCGACGACAGGCTCATGCCGTCCTCGAGAATACCGAGCGCCTGGAGAAGATTCTCCTCCGTCGCAAATGAGTCGCGTGCCTCTGGGTGCTGGAGATTGAGCCACTGCTGGCGCGTGACCATGTCGACTTTGCGAATGATGAACCGTGCAACGAGGAGTGTCTGGCGTTGTTGAGGGATGACGGGATTGCAGTGTCGAAGGAATCCTTCCGCATACTCGTGAAGTTCTTGGACAACCTGGGCGCGGACAGATTCCGGTGTTGGGTTTTCGGCCCAAGACGAGGCCATGGCCGCTAGACGGTGCCATGTGCGAGTAACTTGGATGTTGATCAGTGCCAGCGTCAAGGTTGTCCAGCCGGTGCGAGAGTGTGGGAGCTCTTTCATCTCGGGATACAGGTCTCCGTCGTCCAGATTCGACGGGAAGCTCACGCCGATTTGTAGGTTAAAGCTTGAAATATTTGAGAAGCCGTAGTCCTCCGCTGCTCTACCGTCGCGGGCGACGAGATGCCACCAAATACGTCTACGAATCTCGGATTCAAATGGTGAGAGGCCTAGCTTGGTTCCGTCTCGGTGTAGACCGATGGATTGGGCTGCCCGTATAGCCAGTCCGTTCAACGTCCACAAGCCTCGGCCCGGATTGTGTATTCTAAGAGCCGCCTGCGCCTAGTGTAAGCAGATGAAAAAAATGATTCAACTCTAGTTATACATACCAAGTACACAGACAAGGCTTCGAGCAGTTTCACAGAAGGATGTTCGAGGAAGTCAGCCTTGGCAAAAGCTTGCTCGAGACCTGTCTTAAAGCGATGGAGGCTCGTGACCTTGTCCTCGCCCGTGAAGCTCTGGACCGAGTTGGGCTCCAGAACAACAGTTGAAACAAAGAAGATAGCAAACATGACCGCCAGTGCTTCCGAGGTCGCGTTCCGGGGGTCGTCGATGGCCGTGTAGACGAGGACCTCTGCTGTCGGCCGGTGAAGTACCTTGTTACAAATCTCGATATTGTCGACGTAATTCCTCCACAACTCTATGGCGCCGTACTTTGAGGGAAGGAGCTCAGCAAGATCCAGTTTGAGATCTGGTGCTGAGAGAATTCCCATGGGATTAAAAGGCGACAGCTCCGCTGTGGCTGCCGACTCACTGCTCTGCGGTGTTGTGAGAACCGATTGAATGTCATGTTCCTTTTGATGAGTTGTCAGCCGACTGTTACATGCATCGAGTGGACGAGAGAATCACTCACCTCCTCGATGACCCGAGAAATCAGGACATCGTCAAAGTATTGACTTGATGATCCCTTCCGTAAAAGAATCTCATCGTTGACACTCTTCTCATGCGGACCCGAAGCTGGCGCTGTCGTTGGCCTGGATGCTGATGTATTAGAGTGACTTGGGTTCAAACCCAAACCAAAAGCTGTCCCAGGCGTGGAGGCCAATGGCGAAACCCGGAGAGCCGGAAGCTGCTGCTGTTGCTGGCTCGCCGCCCCGGCCACAAGTGTCTTCTCCAGGTCCGAGATCCGGCTTGCAACATCGGCGATGGTGGTCTTTCGGACGCGGCGTATCGGCTGACCCGCCTGTGGATAGTGACATTGGAAGCCGCCGCGGGCACACGAAGCGCAAGGTTGCTTCTTGTCGCAGCGGATCTTGCGGCGGTGGCACAGCTGGCAGGACCGCTCGATTTTGCGGCCACCGCTGCTGCTCCCGATGCCAAGGCGGGTCACGCTGCTGTTACTGCTGCTTCCGCCCTCATCTCCGGCGGCCGTCGGGGGCTGGGATTGGCCCGGCTGCGGTGTGTCGGGTGCTTGTGTGGGCGAGGTCCGGACAGCTCCGGAGGCAGATGTTGGATCCGGTCCCATGGGGCCGGTATGGAGAATCCGAGTGACACCAGATCCCGATGCGATGCGACGCAACACAAGATTGAATTTGACAATCCGTTGTTAATTTGTCTTGGCTTTCACAAATATGATTCGACTCGCGGCAAACTTGCTGGGGGCTGAACAACAAACAGCTATTCCTTCAGTCGATGTGGGTGATGGACTCTAGGTCGATGGTCGAGACCCCTCGGTCTCGGCGCTTACGAGAGGTCCGAGACCGAGCAAACTATCCCACAGGCCCCGCTCTTCCTGACTCAAGATTTAAAGTGCGAGAGTCGCCCAGACAAAGTGCGAGATGAAGCGCGCGTAATCCGGTGGCAGACCGCAGCACCTGCTTGTTCGCCTAGGGAGGCTGACTGTACCCATGGACCATGAGCCATGGGATACGGCTTGACCGCTTTCAGTTCTTCCTGTCGTCAGCGCGCCCGCAGAAGGCTTGATGACGGAGTAGACTCCGTCCGCATGCATCCTAGTATTAACCTTTGGACAAGTTCTTTAAGCTTCGCCGAGGTCCCCGAACGCGTAGGGCGTCCCTTTTATTTTTTCCAGCCACCACGTGTCTGATGTCTATGCTTTCTCTGATCTTTGGAAATCTAGAGCGATTGTCTAATCAGTCGTCTTTGAGAGCGGTATAGAGGTTTCTTTGATTCGATGCTTCAATGTCTCAATGTCATATGCGACTCGGGGGTTTGCCCCTCCCTCTTGTGGAAATATGTCACCGGGCAAGCCCGTGAAGAAAACAGCGAGGACCCTGCTGCATACTATGTTGGCGGCTGCAGCCCCTGTACTTCAATCTATCATTGATGCCAGTTGAATAGCCATATTGGCATTGGGTGCAAAGTCGCCTTGAAAGGAAAGTTGCCTCGGTACAAGCTGCCGAAGAGGAAAGAGTAAGCGTGTCAAAAGGCCCTTGATCAATATCAATAAGGTTCGACATGCTGGGAACACCCAAAAAAAGATCCATGAACAATAAGACGGTACCACGCAGAACTTACTCGTTATCAAATCTCCGACTATCACTGACACGGTGAGTAATAAACTAGATGGATCGACCCAGCCAGAACCTTTTCGTGTTAGTTCGTGGGGTTCCGCGCCGCTCAACGTCCATTATCCGTATGACGATGGCAGTGTGTTAACCGAGTTAGGTACGGATACACATCCTCCGAAGCTTCAATTGGGACCAACGTCGTAAAAATCTATACTAAGTACCAAAAACCAGTTTTGTCTACGCAGTAAGTTTCAACAACAATCTTCAACATAATTTCCTTGACCCTTGACTCCGGACGGATCACTACCGAGGCGACGGTAAGCTCCCGCGATGGCGCAAAGGGGGGCTGCTGGCTATCCCCCGCAGACTTATTCTACCCAAAGATGCTTTCCACGCGTTCGAGACTTGGAGTTCATCCTCGTTGACCAGCCTCGAGGGAACTAGACCGCCCTCGTATACATCCTACTTTAGGTAATACCTTATGGTATGGGGGACTCCGGGTGAACTTACCCACCGTTTATCCCGTGGACCGGATGGCATTTTAGAAAATATGACAGAATCAGAAATCGTACGAACTGAAACGCAAACAACGACCTTTCGTCTAGCATGTGCCATATGGTGCCATTCGTTGCGGGACGGAGTAAACTGTCACTCCTCTCATCCATACCTGCAGTACAGACGGACGTACTGTATTTGACTTTGAGGGCGCGTGATAGTTGATCCCCGTTTAGATTTAGCGAGGAGCAAACAAGGTTTTCGGCTACACATGGCCTAATTCATGCAAAGTCTGAGCGCACGCCCAGGACGTGTGCTTGTATGAAACGTCAGGTACCGCCCATAGGCGCGACATAGACTTGCAGGAGCTTCTTTTAGAAGTGTCGCGATTCGATCCTCAGGTTGAGGTTGGGCAGGAAATGATCAGACATATCACTTGCACTGAAGAGGCCAGGCGATCGGAGAGAATGGATGAGGTATATGGAGATTGTGAAATCTGTATTGGTAATGAAACGAGAGAATGGTATCACAAACCCCTAGGTAGATCATGATGTCTCTTTGGGGGGCCCTTCCCGTGGTGGGCAGACACCTTTCGTAACCTTCGGATTCCTACCGAGGCTTCTAAAAACCCGTTCCCTTTTTTGAGCAATGCTGCAAAAGTCCCGTCATGCTCCTCTGCGTCCCGCAGGCAGTCACCACCGCGCCATAGAGAGAAGAAGAAAAAAAAAGACATGAGTAAAGGCCTCGACCCCTTGACGAGGCGCCTCCATGTTAAGCCAACGAACGTAAGAGAAAAGACAAAGAACACTCAAAGCCTCCGTGGAGTTGCCTTGGGGCAATCGTACCATGGAGAATATTTCCCATCAGCCGTGTACATGAACAGAATGATATCTCACCGCCTCGTTCCAAAACAAAAGTTGAATAAATCGATAAGTCTTGAAGAGAGCCCAGATCAAGAAAAGAAAGAAAAAAAACCTTAAAAAAGGGACCGCTCCGCTATACGCCCACCGAGATCGGCGGCAGAGTTTGCATGAAGTCGAGCCAAGATGCTCCCGGCTGGTTGTCCCGAATATCCCACACGGCTTTGAGGAATGTCTCCATACTGCTGCGGTACTTGCTGTTACCGCTGTCGATGAGCGACTTGATGGCATCCATCGCTGTCTCCCGCTCAGCCGCGTCCTTTGCTTCGATGGCTGCAAGGGTGTACGGGAAGCTGACGCAGCGTTGCTTGTCTTGTGAGACTGTCAGCGTCATCTGCAGGTCCGAGATGATGCTCTTTGCCATTGCGGAGGCCATGTCATCCTTCTCGCCAAACTTGTACCGTAGACGGTGAATGTACAGCATCGCTGCCGTCTTGTAGATACGGCTTTGGGCCAGCATGTGGATGACTTCGGTCGTGGTGAAGCGGTTTGTAAAGTCTGGAGGAATGACGGGCTGCCATGCTTCGACTGCTTGCTCCACTTCGTCCAACGCTTGCGTCTGTTCTTCGACGTCGACTTCGTGGTAGAGATGATAGCTGATGCGGCACAAGTCGTACATGTGTTGCAGCAATGGCATACACACGCCAACGTACGCATCAACATGGCCCGATTCGGGGGGTGCGATTCCACACACTGGAAGTTCGCGCTGCATGAGGCATTCGTTGATGTCGACAGCCGTCATGTATACGAGGATGTAGTGTGTCCGTGAGCTGGAAATTTGTGAGGTTCCTAGAAGATGGCGAATGTGGCTAAGCACGTATCGCCGTACGGGCGCCGCACTGGTACCAAGGGCCATGTTGGAAAAGTACACGATGCCCAATCCCAAGCCAGCCCACGGCAGCAGTTCGTCGCGCTTGAGTGTAGGCAATGGACAGGATCGAAGGTGTTCGACAGCCATTGCGCCGCGGTGTAGATTCGCTTCCGGATCGTACTCGCCCGTCTCCAACCCCATGGATGACGCAAACGCACTGTACATGGCGATATAGGCGTCCTTGCCCTGGTCGAACATGGAAAACAGATGGACTGTCATGTCCAGCTGCATGCTGTCGACGAACGTTGGGCTGATGAAGTACTGCATAAAGTTGGACTTGTGCAGTAGCCGCGATAAGGAGTTGCGTTCGACGGTGTCTAACCGGCCCAGCGTGCTACCATATGGGCTGAGCGACTCGAGGATCTTTGACGGGGGACTCGATGCTGATTCGGTTGACGAGTCGGACGAAGCGTCGTCGGGAGGGCTACCGACGCTCGAGGCCGTCGCTATACTCGGCTTTCGCGATACGGAACACGGCGGGGAACTGACGCGGGCGACAGTCGTCGTTGTCGTCGTCGGCGGCGCTGTCGTCGGGACGATCACGTTGGCTTTTCGAGGGATCGGGTTCGGACATGGCACACCGGTACCCATGATCTTGCTCCTAACTGCGACCTTTGACCTCCCCTTGACTGCTGACCTGGGCACAGGGCGCACAAAGACGCAGTCCCGGCCGTTCATCATACAGCGGTCGCATTGTGGATTACCTTCCGAGAAGGTGCATTTTGACTTCTGATAGTAGCAAGGCGCGCACGCCTTTGCGACGGGCTGGAGACGGAAGGGGTCAGCAATGTGACGACGGAGGGGCAGAGACGCCGAGGCACTCCGATGATCAGTGGTCAAGGAAGGGTAAACATGGTCGAGTGATCAAGGTGACCAAAGGCGACGATGATATATCATGAACGCCGATGACGTGTATGATAGTACATCAACACCCAACCCCCGATGGAAGTGGAATGCCTCGACGGAGATAGGCGATGACGAGAAGTTGATGTGCTGCACTCACCATTGTGAATCAAGATTCAGGTGGGGTAGTCCATTCGATGTGCTCCAACAGACAAAGTTCTGTGGGGAGAGAACAAGAGTGACACGACCAGGACACGCAAGAAATCTGGGTCGATAAAGGCCTGTGGCGGGTCGGTGATGATTAATACGTGTAAGCGTTGCGTTCTCGGGATTCCGTCTCTCTTCAATGGTGTGAATCCTCTTCGATTTCTGTATTGCCAAGGTTGAATAGGTTGAATAGCCGTCGTCCTCGGGTTGATGCTGTGGGCTTTTGGTGGTGCGGGCAGAGAATGTATGTGTGTGTGTGCAGTCCGGGTTCGTTGAATGTAACTAGCAGGTTGAGAGTGCGTTGGAGAGTATGTTGGGAAATCGGCGTTGCAGTGGACGGGCAAAGATCAGTAATTGCCGAAGGAGTTAAGGAGGAAGTGGGATGTAGAAGTGATGTTATGTTATGGTTGTTGGGCAGAAGGAGGAAGACAAGACAAGACTACAGTCTACTGGTAGGGGGCCTGGGATGTGAGAATAAGCTTCGGGCATGGCGCGCATGGATTTGATCGAGCGAGCAGTCAGGCTGAGGAAGCGGTCTGATCCATGGTGATCATGAGGGATTGATATTCGGTATCGGGACGACGGAGACTCGAGGCGTTTGGTTTGGTCTTGTTTGGTGGGCTTGGGTGGTGGTCAAGTCAAGTACTGCAGACAATGTATCCTGCAACCCCCCCCTTTTGAGAAGTGTAACCTGACGGAGGGGGGGGGAACCAGGGGTTGGACGAAGGAGAACGGGGAAGAGAGAGGACGAGCAGGTAGACCCAGAGAGGGTCAAGGCTACCAGGAGTCTAGGGGAACGGGAACGAGCAGCCAGCTTGGGGTGTGTGGACAAGCAGAAGACAAGGTAGGGATTGGTCAGGATGGGATGGGGAAGGCAATGGCAGACGTGGGATGGTGATTTTGGATTAGGCAAAGCCGCCGCGAGGCAACGGCTGTGTTGTAGGTATTTTGTTTGCTTGGCTTCTATGGCTTGGGACGCCGCTTTGCTCGCTCGTTTGGCGCAGAGAAGGATGGTGAAGGTGACAGAAGGGAATGATTTGATGATGAAAGGCGGAACAAATTTAGGGGTCCCCGACTACGACCTTCATCAGTAGCCGGAGCCAGCCATGTACGGATACATGCCTCCAGTCTCTTCAATGCTCATTTCTGTTGGCATATTGAAAGGCAGAATGGGGTGTGCTGATGTACCAGCACTAACAGAATTCCCCTCCACCATCTTCTCAGGCTCCTCTCCTTCTCTCCCTCTTCCCCTCTCACCTTCTCTCCCACTCAGCTGCTACCATCTAGGATCAATGTCTGGCGGGCTGGACGCCGCATGCGGGTATACAGAGCTAGCGCCCTCGGATGCTAGCTGGCAATACATGCGCCAGTCCGTGCGCATCAGAAGTAGAGTACGAAAGATCCAGCAGAGAGAGCAAAGGGGACTGCTGAGTGGTGAAGTGGTGAGTGGTGACTCGGTGAGTGGGAGACTAGACGAGGAGAAAGGGAAACGAAGCATGTCTTGCCTGTCAGCCCGAGCAAAGCACCAGTATGGAAGGCTTGGGGCCTCGCACATGTCTTCTTGTGAGAATAGTCAGGACAGTAAAAGATACTTTGAACTTTCTATGATATCTGTACGTAAAGACTACTCCATACTCCGTACACACCTTTTACGTATCGAGATAGTTGGACGCTGGCCCTCCAGCGAGTCTCTCTCTCAACGCTACACTTCCATCGCTTGGCTTCAACCAGCGGCCTTGCTTGCAACACTGCTCCCCCCCTGAAACGTCGAGGCGGTGCAGTCACAATATGGGCACGCCCGTTGGTCCTTGGGAAGCAGAAAAAAAGTGGCCTGTTTTGACTTTTTCCCTTGCACTCGCACGGACTTTGTGTTGAAGCAAGGGCAGAAGCGAGGAGAGACACGCATGCCAGACTCCAGAGAGGGCCACCGTAGAATGGTAGTCTTCAGGCGTGGGTAGCCGTACGGAGTACATGTACCCATAGGCTTACTACTAGTAGTAGTCCCGTAGAGACTAGGTGGGTATGAATATCCGCGGAGAGTGGAGGATCAGAGGATGTTCTGGGGACCAAGACCGGGACTGGGGGTCCCACGATGATGAATCCAAGGAGTGGAGGATGAGAGCGTTGTGATGCCCCAGAAATCCAGGGCAGCTTGTTGAAGATCAGATGGGCGTGCGGGTTGTTTCTCCCAGCCCGCCTACTGATGGTCCGTACGGATACTCGCTCTTAGGCTTTATGCTGTCCATCCAGCAAAAATCTAAGCGATGCGACTTGATGGTGCTATAGCGATCAGAGAAAGCAATAGATAGTCTTGGACATCAGTGTCTGTTGCTGTTGCGTGGCAGGGGAGCTCCCGGCTCATGCTGGCACCGAGGGGGCTTGATGTCATTTCATCTTCTCCATGTGCATGGAGAGCACGAACCGCCTTGCTGTCTAACTTGTTCCTACCGTCTCTTGCGCGTTCTGATGTGCCTCTCAGACTTGGGCACGATTCGTGCGCTTGTGCTCAAACGAGAACCAAAGTGTGTCATCTGCCCTGGCAGCCAGGCTGAGAATGAACGTGCAGTGAGTGTTGCGAGCCTAGTGAAGTTGGAAACAACGCTCGAGAGGCATTCGCACAACTCACAGGTACACTACTTCGTACCGGTACTCCTAGCCCTCTCAACCTGGCCTGCCTGCTTCTGAGCATTTGCGCAAACAAGATGGTAGCTGGGTTGATCGAGACCCTGGCTTTGGCGTCTTGGGGCTAGCTCCCGGGGGCCCGCGTCCGGGTTCAAAGTGACAGAACTGGGGCAGAGCTGGGAGGAGCTGAGAGATGGCGCGGGGTGGCACCGTGGGAATGAGCCCATGGGAATGAGCCCATGGGCACAGAGCGAGATATGGACTGTTCCGACTTCTTTTTGTTTCTGTGTCACTTTGTTTCGGTGTCCCTGACGACTAGACTGGTTGAGACTTGGAGCGTCCTATGTTGGCACGCAAATCAGGAACCAGCACGAGGTTGGTGTCTCAGAGAGACGAAGCGTCGTTCAACAACAGATGTTCTATTCCTGGGAACATGGACATATTGCAGGCTTGCGGGCACCGGGGAAAGGTTCCTGCAGGCATGCGGCGCTGCAATCTGCACGCTGCTTGAGCTTCTGTGGTGAACGGATACTTGGTACCATCCTGCAAGTCGTCAATATTTCCTGGTCTGCGGAGCCTATGTCTCGACATGTACGGGTTAGCATTGATATATCTGCCGTATCAGGTGGCTAGAAATACCCATCTCTCGCCCACCCGTCACGTTCATCAATCAGACCCAAGCCTATTTTAGCCGCCAAGCTTGTCCTGGTTCGTCGCAGCATGCAGAGTGTACGGATAGTGTAGAGAGAAGGGGGCCTGCAAGTCCGCAGGTCCGCAGTGATTCCGTGGGATACAAGGATGGTTATGCAGCGGGTTTATCCCCCCCTCCATCCCCATCTCCAGAGTCCAGGGTTCAAGGACATGCAAACCACTGCAGACCTGCAAGGACTACAAGCGAGGTATTGCTAACCATTACCCAATGATCTAATGACCTTCCAAGACGCCTCAAAGATGTCTGGTGTTGCGTTCTGGTCTGAGAGGATCTATTAAAGCAATAAGATGGGCACATGGATGTCGAGCCCTCGTCCATAACAATGACATGCCGCTAAAATGGCACATGCCAGGACAGTTGGAGAGACTACGCTTTCTAAGCCGACGACTGAGTCGTCATCCTGGACAACTCCACCGGAGGCAATTTGCTTCCCTTGATTGTCCCACGTGGGAGGGGCCAGATACCGCGCCCGACACTGTGGCCTCAATCTCCTCTCTCCGTCTCGATCTGCACTGCACCTTTCCCATGTGCCTCAATGGGAGACAATGATGGCCAGGAATAATTAGCCCCTATCCCGGCAGATGCTGATTTAGCCCCCAAAAGAACGTGCACAATAGACTCCAGGGACGAGAAACCCAAGACATCAAGGTCTAGATCAACAACACCGGAGTGAACGAGATTGTTCATTCACAACATAATCTCACAGAAACGAGTCTACAAAGTCAAGCACGTAAGTACATGGACAACCAAACGTATCGCCTGCGCCCGAGTCTGACAACACACCAGACAGTCTCAATAGTCAGTCAAATCAACCATATTATTAGCCTTTCCACCCCGTTAGCCCGCATCTGTTAAACACACTTTGCAATCCCTCCCCAGGACGCTAGGCGCCTCCGGGCTAGGGAAAACTGCGACAAGCAGTCAGTTGAAAGCTTCGTGGTAGTACTTACCGGCTTGCACGGCAAGGTCCTTGGTTCTTCCCAGCTTAAGCCAAGCATCAAGTTTGGGCGAAACGCAAGTTGACTCCACGCAATTCCCTCCCCTCCCCTCCCCTCCCCCCGTCCAACGTTCGCGCGCGGTGATCAAGGCAGAGGAGCCTCACAAACGGTGACAGAAACTTCAGAACCCTTCACAATCAACCTCAATTGGGGCCTAAGCCTTGGCAACCATGGGCATCGATTAGATGGCGTCGGAACGGAATGCCGCT